TTTTGAAGTTGTTTCTAATTTTTTGAGCATCTTTAGAATAGTTATTACAAGTAGAACTTGCAATATCTTGTAATCTTTGCATATTGCCAATTTCTCCTCTCCATTCACCAGGTATTAATTCATTTTGACCATCCTTATCAATATAAGTATTTGGACAGTAATCACCAAGACTCTCCTACCATTTTGACATTAAAAAATAATGAAGTGCGGCAGCAGCTTATGTCATAAACTCAACTTTTGAACTAAACTAGTTGAAGCAATAACATGTCTTCTGAAAATTCGAAATAAAAATGCAGCTATACCAAATGCATTCTTAACATTTCTCCTGACACGCGACAATCTGTAGTTAAATATTTGTTGTTTGTACGAAAGATTAGAAGATGGATAAGGTTTCATCATGTGTTTAAACCATTGTTTAAACTAAATGCATTATCTCCAATAAACACGTAGGGCAACATTGTTTCAGTACCATTTTTTTTACATGCTTGAGGAATTTCAAACAAATCATTATCAATAGAATAACCAAGTTGACAATTTGCATACACACTACTTTCACTTCCACTATTTCCTATATCTATTAGTGAAAATTGATATTTTGCATTGCCACAGCCAAAAAAACAATAACATACGTCTTTTTGTAGTTATAAAACTTTGAGCCAGAGCACGCAGGAGCTTGCATAACTGCATGTTTTCCATCAATAGCACCTAAGCAATGAGAAAAATTCCATTTGTTATAGAGTATATAGAGCCTCTCATATTTTTTTTTTAATCAACAGACACACCCAAGACAATAGTTCTTCTAATATTGTTGGTTAAAATAACGAAAAAATAGTTCGTGGTCAAACATCAAAAATAGTTCGTGGTCAAACAATTTTAAATCTTTAGCAAGAAGATTATATTCTCCTTTTTGTCAATGATCTAAATAAAATTTTCTTATCCAAAATCGCTTCTTGTTCTTTTTTTGCTATTTGTTTCTTATATGCAATAAAAATATTAAATATAGTAATTTTTTTACTATATTTGTAAACTTATAGTTGCTATTAATTGTTATTGATAAAGTAGCGCGAAAAAATAATCGCGAAAATAATGTGGAAATCAAAACGGCGTTTCATCATGACAAAAAACATTTGCTTCGCGCGATTTATTTCGTCTTGTAGAAAACGGCCTTTAGCCAATCAGAAACCGTTGTTTGTCTAGCTTTAAGTTTTAAATGAGAAAGTTTATTGCACTTACTTCAATGGCAGTTGCACTGGAGAATCACTTGAAATCATTTTCAAAAATTTTACCGTATGTTTTACCAAAGCGTGTACTTTAGGTGATACTCCTAATCCAAGTAGTAGCAGGCTTCTTGATGATCTTTTATTTTTATTTGTAGTTGGTTTCTAAAGTTAAATTTAGTTGCTAAAAAACTAACTTTAACTTTTCTCAAGCATTTAAATGCCTGTGAAAGAAAGATGTTCATTATAATTTAGTGAAAAAGACTTAATTAAATTGTTCTAAATGTCTATACTATAAAGAAGCTTTGAACAATGTCCTCTCTTTAATTTCCCACCGTGAAGCCTCGGTCTTTTAAAGCCCAATTCTTCATTTTGCTCTTCTGCTTTAAAACAAAATTCTTTTGATTTTGTATATGAATTAATACAATTGAAAAGTATGTTGGTGTTTCCCCTGAGAAGGCGTAGCTCCATCGGAGCTAGAATTTTTAAAATCTTTGTTTCATCTGCTAGATCAATAAGTGGTTGGTCTACAAAGTTATGACAGGGTACAGCAGATAACTTTTATTTTTTAATTTTTTTTCTGCATTTTTGTAATTATTAGCTGATGATCTAATCATTTCAAGCGTTCTATATTCATCTTTAAGAAAGCGTTTTTTTCTTTGAAAATCATCTTTGCTAGCTATACACCAAGGGCATTTTGATATGAAGTTGAACTTCATATCGAAATCACAAAAATATTTAATGCTGTTTAAATTAATAAAATTGCTTATAATTTTCATATTTGCGTAAGATTCTTGCAAATTTTCAACAAGTGCAATATTATTAAGTTAATTAACCCCATTTTTATTTACATAACCTTTAACTTGTCAATAAAACTATGTAGATCTAATGTGATGTTAGCTAAAGTTCTTCATTATGTCAATCTTGAAACTCTTATTAATATATACCTTGCCAATTTTGGATCACATCTTAGGTATGCGTGTCAAGTTTGGTGACAAATCCGCACCCAAGAAATTTTAAGATTATCCAACTTACAAAACAAAGCATTAGAAGTATTATATTTTCAGCATTACCATTCTAACTCCAATCTTCTTTATTTTTTTATTAAAAATACTCAAAATTGATGATCTAGTTCAACTTATTAAATTGCCATTTTTTCTTTTATCATAAACAAAAATGCCTACGCAGCACTTTTAAAAATTTTTATACTGTTAGAGAAAGCTGTCGCTATCATCTACAATCTGCTAATAGCTATAATCTTCATGTACTAAATCATTCTTCTGTAAAATATAATCTTAAATCCATAAAATACCAAAGTGTAAAATCATGGAATAGTCTACCTTCAACATTAAAATTAATTAACTTAATTAAAATTTTAACTATTTTTTAGCAAGATATTATACCTGAAGCCTCTGAATCATGTTGTTATGCTTTTATTATTACTACTCCCTTGATACCTACTAATTTTATTATTAACTTTTTGTTCTCATATTTTTGTTGTTATTGTTAATATTGATATTAATAATATTCTTCTATCTTTATTAGTAAACTGTTATTTTTATTTATAACTTAATAAATATTATTGTTGCTTTTTTTAATTTTTTCTTAAGTTTATTTGCTACTTATTCTATATTGTTGTTATTATCACTATTATTGCTATTATCTAATATTGATTGTCTAATATTTTTGTTGTTATTGTTAGTATTGTTACTAAAAATATTCCTCTTCATTGTTATCTTATTATTATTGTTAATATTATTGCTATAACTATTATCAATACTATTATTATTGCTGTTATTATTATTGTTTCTATGATCACTTTTATTGTAATATTGCAGGCTTTTACTTTAGATTAGTACTTGTACTTTTTGTAAAAGTCCTTGAAACTTTACAACTTATTTCAGAATATATATATATATATATATATATATATATATATATATATATATATATATATATATATATATATATATATATATATATATATATATTGAATTGAATTGAAGGTCACGTCTCCTTCTTTACCATGACGTTTTAAACCTGGATCTTCTGCTTATGAAGCAAGCGCTCTAACCGTGTGGTTCTAAAGAAAAGCTAAAAAACTTTTAAAATCTACTCACTTGAAAAATTTTTTTTTTTGACAACATGTTTCACCAGGCCTAAAATATCTTTGCAATAAACCATCGCCTTTTCACCCATTCTTTTTCAACTAGTTTGTTTCTAGTATTTTTTTAAAATGATTTGCAACCTTTTCAACTTCTAAAAACAATTAAAGCTTTACCCCCTGTGCATTACTAAGACCACATGCATTTTATAAGCAGGGCCGCCAAAAGGGGAGGGGGGGCAACGGGACAGTTTGTCCCGGTCGGCAGATATCCAAGGGGCACCAAATGAAATGAGGGTACCTATAAAAAAAAAAAATGTCCTTCATATATAATATAGGGAAAATTTAAAAAATAAGGGCGCCAATGATTGCTGTCCCAGGCGGCGTGACAGCTCTCGGCGGCTCTGTTTATAAGTTGTTCATTTCACTAGAACTAGTTTTCGATCTTTGTATACTAATTGAAATTCTGCCTGTGGCAATTGTGTTTTAGAACATTGCAATTCGGCACCTCTATCGTCTAAACAAAAATCTACAATATTGAATTTTGTATTACTTTGTAATTATTGTTATAATTTACTTTTAATAGGAACTTAATAATACAGTTATTATTTTTTTAACTTCATCTAGTTGCTTCACTAGGTTTTCCTTTCTCAGTAATACAACACGTGTGAGCTAAACCTGATCCAATAAGATTTAAACATCTTTACAAACTTGAATTGGTCCAGGAGTGGGTTAAACTTTCATGTTGAGTTTTGGTATTCTTTTTTTTTTCTTCTATATTTGATCTACGTATTAAATTACTCGTAGCAATAAATATGTCACATTGGCAAAACTGTTGATTTTTTAGAATAGTTTCTTTGATCATAGAGAAATCAAATGGTTTGCTTAATATTGGTGTTACCCTTTTCCATTTCTAATAACTAATTTAGTTCTACATCTTCCACAAATTCCATTTGTAAAATGGTTACCGTTTAAGCTAACATTTTCAATGAAATTATTTCTCAATAAAACTCTGCACTCCCTTTGTTTATTTTACTTAAATTTTTTTAATTTTTCAAAACAAATAAAAAAAACTTTACACCTACTTTGACTGTGCCATAGCCTTGATTACAGCATTTTTAAGGTGAAACTTTTATGAATATTTAAACTTCCAAAGCACAACTAACAATATTACTAACATAACATGTAACAACACACAAATTACAATAATGAATTTTTTGGGATTTATAGTAGTGTGACCACCTATCCCGGTATTATCAAAATGTTTTTATTTTATTTCGTTTAGTGATACTTTAAAGAAAAAAGAAAAGAGGTAGAGCAAAATGTAACAAAAAAATATTTTAAAAATGGATTTCTATTTATTTCAAATTGGCAAGATCTGTTGATTCGCATTTGCAGCTTAAATTTAACTTTAATACAAATAATAAAATTTAAAATAGATAATAAAGCGTTAGGAAAGTTGTAGTCAAGTAATGAGGTGTATATTTATTGATTGGCTTAGTGGCAATATTTGTCGTTTATAACTAGATGTTTTTTTCCCTTAACAGGTGCAATTTTGTAAAAGATTTATTCAAAAATTACATTATAAATTAATTGTTAATATTTAAAAGCATATGTAAAAATCTGATTAAAAAAATACTTAAAATAGTAAAATTGTATTTTTGATGATAAGTCAATACCTGAGCATCTTTTCGTCACTAAAAGATTTTTAAAATATCCAGATTGTGCAATGTACCAAGGATCTGAAAAGTACATTTTAACATTTTTAAATTCTTTTGCAGCTACATTTTTTATCGTAAAAATGTTCATCCCACCAATATTTATAGTAAAGTTGTAATAGCCTTTATATAGCAGCTGACTTATTACAAATTGATTGCATCCAGTTGTGAAAGCTTTTGTAAATAATTGGTTATAAATTGCTCCATTAATATTTGCAAAAAAAAGCATTTTACCATATGCATCAAACCACATACCAATAACTCGGTAGCTATACAGACCGTTAGCATCTTTATCAGAATTCCCTGTAGTAAAATCAAACAAGTTCGAAAATTTAGAGTAAGAGTTACCTGCGGTGAACGAAGTTAAGCAAGTTTCAAACGCAATTTCATATTCTATAGGAAACACATTAAATGTAGTAAGAAGTTGGTTTGGGGATAGATTTCTTTGTTCATTTAAAGCAAACAATTCTAAAAATATTTAAAAACATGTTAAATATATTAGTTATGTCATTATTTTATTATTAAGATCTAATAAAGCAATAATTGATATTTTAAATAATTTAAGTTTATAAATTTTGAATTGTTCTATAACGCTTTATATCATGGTATAACATAGTCGAGTGAGTATGTATAACATAATGTTATAACATACTCTAGTGAGAATGTTATACCATGACACATGTATGTTTTTTTATATATCTTAATAATAAATTTTCATTTATTTCATTTCATTATAAAAATATAATTTTAAAAAAGGGAAAGTAATAAAAAAAGGGAAAGTAATAAAAAAAAAAACATTTAAATTACTTCAATTTGGATAAAAAGTGTTGTTGCTTTTTTGTTTTTATTTTTTATTTTAATAAGAAAAACTGCATTCTTATGTTATATTTTTTAACCTACGTGAATTTAATTATTGTTAAATTTTAGATGGAAATGTTTTCTTGGGTTGTTTATGTAACTTCAACTAAATTCAAAAAAAAAAAATTAAATTCAACTGAAACTGGATTGATGTTGAGTGTTTCAGGATTGGGTCTGTTTGTAACTTGAGATAAAAAAAATCCTCATCCTTCCATCGATCAGGTTGAAATGGACTTATTCCAGATACTGAAAAACCACTAATGATGTTAACTGGCATTGATACTTTTCCCCAAGCCTTTCCATAAATTTCTTCTATGTCATAGATTGAAACAGTTTTTCCTGGATGTGATACAAACCAGCTATCAGTTTAACGAAAATAATGACGCTTAAAAGGTCCATACACTGTTATGTCTAGTGGTTGCAGTTTGTGTAATGTATGGGGTAGAATTGTTTAAACAATTACACCATTATCTGATGCAAAGTGAAGTTATTGATATATGAGACTCATGATTATCTAGTATTAACAGCACAGGGTTTTTTCTTAGATGGTCGAACACTTTTTATAAAATAATTAAACTACTCCATAAAGGTTGATTCCACCATCCACCCAGATTTGTTGGCAGTGCTAACAGAGCCAGGAATTTAATTTTACAGTTGAAAATATGTAGAATAGTATTATTGGTGATCCTCTTGCATTTACTGCATTACACATTGTTCCCAAGATACCTCGTTCTGCAATTGTAATAAAAGCAACTTGCCTTACCTGGTGTTACTACTGTACAAGTATTGTACAGTAGTAACACCAGTCTCATCTACGTTCCATATATCATTCGGTGAAAACTTGTATTTAATTAAAACACCATGCAGATTATTATAAAATAGATCTACATTATACTTGTTGAATGATGATATTCGACTAATTGATGTTGCCTCTGGTTTTCTTATAACAAGTTCTGGATAACGACTTAAAAAAATTCTAAACCAATCTACACCTGCATGTTTATTTGTTTCCCAAGATTTAGTAGAACCTCGACAAGAATGTGGACACTTCTTCTTAAGTTTGAGAACATATTTAAATGTTAGTGCTCTTAGCGTAATAGAACTTAACCCATATCCCATTTTTGCAGAAACTAAACAATATTGAACCAGCTCTTGTTCTTTTGTTACTGAAATTTTTTTGATAGAACTGTTACTATATGGAACACATTGCAATGTATTTAATCCATTTGGAGATAGTCAAGCTTCTTTTATTCGCCTCTTAAGAGTTGAACGTTTGACTTCAAATATCTCAGCTTTTCTTTCAGATAAAGTTTTTCTCAAAACATTTTCAACTGCTTGGATCATATTATTGGGATCCCAATTACCTTTTAGTGCTGTTGCTTTTCAATGTCTCATCATACTTCTGAAATGATTAAAACTTGTTTATAACCATATTTAAAAAAAAATCTTAACACACACGCATTTAACATGTATAAAATGCTAAATTATATAAAAGCTTGAATGTAAGATAATTTTTTTATTATGATCAACAAACTTTAGTAATTTAAATATATAAAGTAAATTACGAAATTTTATTCTTAGTTTTATTAGATATTATTTGATTTTTTGTATTGTAAAAACTACTGACCAAGGTAACTGTCATTGTTTTTAAAAACGTATAAATAACATTTCAGATATATTATATAGTATCTAGCATATAGCTTATCTAGCATATTATATTCCATCTAACATATCTAGCAATAACATTTATTATATATAGTATATATAACAAATGTTATATGCTAGATGTTATTATAAATAATAACAACTTATTTATATATTGAAATAATATTACGACATATTCAGTTATTGAAATAATGAAATAAACTACATATTAATAATTATTAACTAAATATGTAAGCTATTAGTCTGCTTAACTTAATATTAAATTATCTGCTTACCTTAACATTATATTGAATAATTGAAGTTAAGCCCTTAAGTCTTTAACAAAAGTTTAATAAATATTTTAGTTTATTTCCTAATTCACACTTCCTTAGTTCATTAAGATAAAAAAACTTGTGTATTTTATTTTAGTAAGTAACATAGGGAAGCGCGATAAATACTTCGTAGAAAAATAAACCGGTCCATTTAGTACAATCAATGGTGATTTATCCGGTACACTAACCAAAATGTACATGTACCCATATAATCACAGCAATCAGTAAATCATGTAATATTCATTTTAATGTTATACAAAGTATAAAATATGTATCTATAATATTATTGTTAATCATAGTTGACTTTATCTTAAAAATCTAGTGTAAATTGAAACAAATTGAAAAGATGAAAATTTACTTTTTTCTCGAAACAAACAAAAAATATAAATACTAATGCATTATTACGAATAAAGTTAAACCAAAAAAATTAAAGAAACTTTGAGTATACACAAATTATATTCAATTAAAAAAAATCAATTCACCGCTTGTTAAGTTTTTATTTTTCTAATGGTCCATTCAGTACAAGGCCCACTTAGTACCACTCTCTCCTTTATTAAATATATCACCAAACAAAAACTTATAAACAAAAAATTGATTACAAAGAAAAAAGTATGCTTACAACAATGAAAGGCCTAAGAATGGAAAAAAAAAATTAATGCTAATGTGTAAACATATGTTGTATAGTGATTAATAATATTACTGGCATTTCGATGAGGATCAGCACTTATAACTAGTTTATCCCGTCAGACAAATGTCATCGCCACTTAAGCTTTACCGCGCGACTTATGCCTATTCCATACTGCGGTAAAAAAGGACTCACTAGAAATAGCCAAAACCCAACCATCCCCAAATTTGTAAAGCATCAATATTTTTTTGATGGTATGATATTAAAAGTTTAGATCTACTATACAAACAAAAATAAAAATAACTAAATAAACCACTTACCATACCACCAAAAGAAAATATAAGAACACAATAAATTAAAGTTCTAATAGAAACATAAAAATACTAATAAATTTATTTTAAGACATATAAAACCAATTAGGTACGAGCATAAACAAACTCAAGACAATCAGAGAGTAGTATACTTATATATATTTTAATGAGGTGTACTATACCTCGTTAAAATTTTTTTTTAAATCAATAAAGCAACAGTCTTCAATAAACTCTAACGCTGTCATTGATCTCTCATTCGAAATAACAAACCAATAAAAAGTGTAGGAACATGAGCAACCCGCGAAACCCAAAATCATAACAATAATTAAATAAACTATGATAGGAAAAAAAAACGATATTGTCACATGATGATATTGATGATATTGGGGATCCGTTAATGTTTATAGTTCTTGAGGCACTTAAAATGACTAATAAAGCAAATCTCAAATCATGAAAATTTACAAAATTAAAATTATATTTTAACAGTAGAAAACTTAAAATAAAACAGTCAAAGTATAAGTATAGTAATAAAAAGTAGATTTAAAAATATTTAATTAAAAGTAGCCATGAATCAAAACCTGTAAATTTTAAAAGCCTTTCAACAATTTTTTTTTCGTTTATTCCTTGAATAGGTTCGAGGTAATATTTTTGACGTCTTGAGCCTGATGGTTAAAAATCTAGCAGCAATTTTTTTTATCAATTGAACAACATGTAAGTCCTCATTAAAATGATCAACATGTAAGTCCTCATAAAAACAATCAACATGTAAGTCTTCATAAAAAGGATCAACACGTAAGTCATCATAAAAATAATGTGACTACATCTAAATCAGTTGATATATGTACGGATTTTGCACTTATTTTATAAAATTTTGAGAAATAAAACTAAATAATGAACATAACTATATAGACATTTCCGGTATTGAGAAAATGTCTATATATGTTTGATCACTTTTTAACAATTTTACAATATACGAAGATTTTCTTGGTCTCTATGCAGTTGATGCTACCAATAGTAAGTTGCTTATTTATACAAAATGTGATGCTTTATTAAAATGTGGACTAGAAAATGGTTCGGGGGCAAAGTTGCGATGGAGCCGCTTGAATGTCAGGGCATCTAAGTGGTGTTGCTAAACTATTTCAAGATGATGTCAATGAAGCAATTTTTATATATTGTTACGCACATCTGCTTAACCTTGTTCTTCAAGATGCTTGATAACAAGTCAGATGTATGAACGAGGGACAGATATTGTGCCAAGTATTGCATAATTTCATTTGTTTAGCTCCAAAGAGACTGGTAAGGTTTAAAATTGTAACATATTCTTTTAAATTTAAATTTTATTGAAACATGTGTATAGTTGAAGTTATGTTTTATTGAAAATGGATGCATGTGATTTTATTTTAAGAATAACTGAAAACTAATATTAGCTTTATAAAATTTGCAAAATATTTTTAGCCCCCCCCCCCCACTTTTTATTTCCTTCCACCACCCCTCTAACGACAGTTAGTATTAGTATAATACTGTTAGTATTAGTACGTTACTACTTTGTATTAGTATTATCCTAATACAAAAATGTGTCGTTTAAGTGGTATTATGAAACACTTATACTTATTAATATTTCATCATACCTGTGAAACGACACGCCTTGTTTTTGTTTTTGGCGATATCTGCGCAGCACGAAATAACTATAACTCTGCA